TAACAATAAGGTGATGTGGAAAAAATCTACGTGTAGATATGAAAAGTGTGTTGCTGCCATAATTAAATTTACACCAGCACTATTTTAAGATTCCTTTGTACAATGCTTACCTAATCCGTGTGTTAAAAAATCTCCCAACATAGGAAATACCAAAATGCACTGAAAATAACAACGTTAATGACTATCATTCAACTATAGAAAGAAATTGGTTATGTGACATACCGCTTTCTTCGTTTCGCAAAAGTCCGATATGCCAACATGCGGAAGCATTTCCTTTTGCAATATTTCTTTGGCATATTTAATACGCTGCTCCTTTGTAACACCTGGCTTGGCACCACGTGCACCAATGAAGTTTAGCGCAACGTTTTGCTCCTGGAAATTTAATACTGTAAAAAATTAGTTTAAATTTGGAATGTGGAGGAGTGTCAGAGACAATTAGAACACAGCCGTGCAGAAGACCAATTCCTTTAGAATGAATCAGTTCATTTGATTCTACAGTTTCCATTTTTTAATGGCAGCTTCATAGCCTTTGCTTTATTAATATTCAAAAATTTCCCTTTTGTAAGCAGCTATTCTTACGATTAGGTTCAGAAGTGATACACCAGATGGTTGTAAATTTTTGCTACTAGTCTGCACTAAGGTTGAAATTAGTTTCGAAACTACTTGGTGATTTGAAATATTTCAACCTCCAACATATACACTATGGATTAGCATGTTAGTCCGATGAAATTACTGGTAAAAAATAAGGAAGTATGAACGGCAGTTGTAATAAAATACCAAATGAGCAAACATATCATTCTTCACCAAACCGTACCAAACAATTCAATCAAAATATACCTGAATAACGAAAGCTTCATCAAGACTTGGTTTTACCATCTCCATCATTTCTGGATCTTCGAAGTCGTAAATTATATGTTCCAATATATCATGATCAGACACAAAACCTAGAGCGCGAAACACGATCATCACAGGAATTTCCTGGAAGAAAAATTTTGTCAGCATTATTTAAATTCTCAGCAGTTATTTAACTGGCCACAAAACTTTATATTATTAAAAGGTTTTAGAAGGAAAAAATGAACAGGAACCTGTTTAATGTACGGTAAAATGGCAATAATTTTAGGTCCCATAGCAGATTTCTTGCTACCTCCGCCACCTCGAGGTAACATGTTAACCCACAGAGTTGATGTTGGACGGCTGAAATATTTCAAATCACCAAGAAGTTTATGGAACTAATTTCAACCTTAGTGCAGATTTAATGTAATCGGAAGAAGAGACACAAAATCTATCTACCTGACCTAACAAGCAGTCGCAGAATACCAACAAATTCAAGTATGCATTTTAAATGCACTGTGCATTTATCTTACCTTGAATTTTCAAGACAGGAGCGACACTCAGTTTTGTATGTGTACTTCCCATCTTTCATAGAAAAGACATAAACTGTATTGGTAGCCATTTTTTCCTGAGCAATCAGGACCTGGAAATCAAAGTATTGATTGAAAGTTTCAATTTCTGACCAAGGTGTAAAGAAGATTAATGTTTATAGAAACCATTAACACCATTAAGTCATTAAAATCAGAAATCATTGAAAGGTATTACCTTTTCAGAACCATTAATGACGAAGTAACCTCCAGGATCCAAAGGACACTCGTTCAACTCGGATAAATCACGGTCGGACATATTCGCTAACATGCAGTATGAAGATCTAAATTCATTATTTAGTTATATGATTTGTGCTACCGAAAAGGATATTTATCATATACATCTTATATATTTATATATTTATCTTATAATATTTATCTCTTTCTCCTCATAGAAAAAATGTTTCGTCATCATTAACTTCTACTTCAATTGAAACATTAAAGAAAATCGAAGCAGAACCACATGAAATTGGACCTAAGCATAATCGGAATCTTCCCGACAAATACTTTTTCATATTTCGTTTCCTTTGGTTCCTCACCGATGCGTGTCATTGTCTTCGTTATATCAATATAAAGAGGCGAGGAATATGTCAAGTTTCGCAGACGTGCCTTAAAAACGATTAAAATTAATTATTCGTTCCACAGTTACAAGTACGTAATGAAAGCAGCAAGCACCAGATGGAAGTAGCCTAAATCATATTCGATGTCGTACTAACCTTTCTTACTAAATAATTTTACCATACCGGTAAAAAAGTTATTGCCTAGAAAGAGTGTTTGCAAAAAAAAGATTTGTATTTGAGAAAAAGCAGCATACCTCGTTTGGCATCATGGGGGTTGGTGCACCATCCTTTTCCCAATGAGTTGGCTTTGACAGATAGATCTGATCGAATTTTAAGGCGAACTTGATAGGATTTTCGACATCACCTATAAAAGTGTATAATTATGGCGGCAGTGAACCAGAAAATTTTGTTTATGAATAAATACCATTAATATGCGCATATTACCGGAGAAGTGTTGAACTTCGGATTGAAGTTCAACAGGAGGTGAGTCTTCGACAATTCGCTGGACATTCATTTGAATGAATTCATCGAAACTGTCCAACTGCTGTCTTACAAGGCCTTTTTCATCGAAATACGCCGAAATCACAACCCAGCAAGCTTCCTGAATAAAATCCCCACAATCGAAGATTAATCATCGTTACAATAATGAGGTGTTTGTATGACATACCTGCCACTGTTCCGATGAAATTTCTTCATCTTCCTCGAAGGGAGCTTCTTCGATTTCCTCATCTTCCTCAAACATTCTTTCTAAAACTGGAAAATCGAGAATGAAATATATAACACACATCATGAATTGATTGAGTAAAAGCTAGTGTAAGAGTTTATCTTGTACTGAATAGTCCCGTGAAAGTGCAGATGCCGATCTATGTATCAGTGTATCAATGTTTTAATACAAATAGAACAAAGACCGTAGTTGACGAAGTTGATGTCAGAGATACTGAACGTCTTTACAAAAAATGAGAGAGAAGACAAGCCCTTTTAGGAACTATATCCCGTCAATTCTGTGCCTCTATATTATCTATACATTTTAAAAAGCAACAGCAAAGAAACTGCACAAATCAACGACCACTAAGTAATACAATAAAGCACGTAGACAATACTTCTAAAACATTTCCTTTAAAAAACTGTTTGATGAGCATACTATGACTGACACCGCTGCCAGTAGGGTTGGGTAACAATGTCTCTTTCCCTAGATGATACTTTTCACAGGGCGTACCAACATCTTACAAAGCTTATATTGCCTTGGTCCAGCAGAATTTGGAATAAATGAAAATGGCAATATTAACTAACAACAACACTGTCCTACGAACCTCCCTCATTTTCCTCAGAACCTTCCACTCTTTATTTCCACTTTACCCGCTCCTCCAATCCTTCTCCTCACCACGCTAGGTCCTCTAATCTCTCTTTGCTCCCACTCCAATGTGCCAAACTATCTCCACCAATTCTACTTCCGATGGGCAAGTGGGTATTTCAAAACCGGGCATACTTGTTATAGTAAAAAGTGGCTCGCAGGTTGTTTTTCTTCGGCTATATGTACACTCTCTCAGCTGTGACGAGATAAAACAGAAATTCCCGGGAGTGACTGACATCTGCGGCACTTTGCAGCAAGTTTAGAGCAATGACTGCTTCTATTGAAATCTAGATCTCTTTCATAGAATCTGAGGAACTTGTGTATGAGTGCCATATACAATTCTCGATTTTGTACTGCACCTTAAACTTCATTTTTTTTGGAAATATTCGAAAAAATCAGACCGGAAACGTGAAACCTGTAATGAAACTAGTGGATAAACGACTAAGAGTGGAAAAGTTAATCTTCCAACTGACTCCTGGAAACCCAGAAAGGAAAGATTGGCAAAGAAAGATGAGTTAGTTTAACCCATGTTAAACTGCTACAAGACAGCAGTAAACAGTACCTTGCCCAGTTCAGTGTCCGATATCTACAGTTCTCTGAGTTATTTCCATTGCATGCAATGACATCCTGGTGGTGATATAACCATTTCCAGTACTGACTGGCTATAACTTAAGCCAGAATTCAATTTATTCACAACTGACATACCATTGTTTTATATATATATATACATATATATATATATATATATATATATATATATATATATATATATATATATATATATATATATATATATATATT